TACATACACTCCATAACATAAGAATAATGATGCCGTGTTAGGTCAAAGATCCATCCTCACATTTTTCAACAGTAAATTGTTGTAGATAAGGTGCATAAGTTTAGAGTGACCTTTCTCCTACGGGCCCTTCCACTTTCATCACTCAACATTTTATGAACTTCTTGAGCATCAGCTAGCAGTAACACCGATTATTGGGCCAATAGCTTCTGTTGAACGTCTCCTTTACAAATTTGCCCCGAATGTCTGTGAACCCAGGTATGCTTCTGGCCTTCACAGCACTATGTGTATGTAACTTCAGTGCATGTACCCACTTCAGATGTGAGAAACATTCCACACACACACACCCCCCCCCCAATACTGTTCATGATTTCATGTATTTCCATCACAACTTTCACTCATCTCTGACTGCACAACCTGCAAAGCTGAGGAGCTCTAGTCACTTGAATCCCATTACATGCAAGCTCTTCAACAGCTCTTGGCATTTCTGTTACTCCTGTTTGAACTTCTCATTTTACTACATTCTTTTTCAGAAGGGGTGTCCAGAACTAACTACAATGTTGAATATATGGGTTCATGCTGGATTTCCTAGGTAGAAACACACAAGCATCTTCCTCATTCAATTTGGAATGGATCTTACTTATGACTTCCTAAAACCTATTAAAAACAAAACTGTAGCTGAGTAAGTGTTGTGGTTTAGGCCAAATCAGCTACTGGGGACGCGGGGGACCCCAAATGGGACCAACAGATGCTCCTCCCTACCCCTCTTCAAAGAGAGAGGCAGAGGAGGGGAAGAGAGACTTACAAGTTTAGAGAGGAGGGAGAGAGAGACTTACAAGTTTAGAAGGAACTGAACTACTTTAATGAAATATTAAAATAAAAGGAAATAATAAAATATGTACAAAACTGTATCAGGCTCCCAGGATGACAATCACATCACCAGCTGGCACTGGGAAAGTCCCAGACTGGGCTCAGAAATGGATGGGAACCGGATTCCGGATCTGCATTCAGGATGGGGATCAAAGGCAGGTGAACAGACAGAGTCCTCCACAGATGCCGGCACTGAAGAAAAAGATCTGACCCTTTGATTCCTCAGTTTTTATACTGAGCATGAAGCAGATGGGATGAATACCCTGTTGGTCAGTTTTGGGTCACCTGTCCTGTCCGCTCCTCCCCGCAGGTGTGACCCCTCTATGCTTTTCTGCTTCCAACCCTCCAACGGGGCAAGTAACAAAGTTCGCTGCCCTTGGGGGTTATGGCAATAAGTATAAGCAAGAACCTCTCTGCATACCATCCTTCGGCATCAACTATAAACATAGGTCTTATCACTGAGAGTGAACATTGCCTGCACAATATGTTGTTAACTACAGTGGTTAGAAGAGGTCTAGCTAAGAAGCAAAGTTACTGAACAAAATTGGTCCTGTTTTACCTCAAAACAGGACAATAAGAAATAAAATTAAATGCTTTTTTGCCTTTTTTTGTTTTTTAATTGCTATTGCAACTACGGTATACACAGTAAAAAAAGAATTGGCTTCCTATTCATTTGCCAAGTTTTCTTTGGGAGAAACAAGAGAAAATTAAGACAATTCTGTGAACTTACTCAGTGAAAAAGAGGCTTTAAAAATACTGCAAAATTCTTATACGTATGATAGATAAGATTACAGAATATCAGTACGTTCTCTGACAGTTTGTAGATAAAAATTTTGTATTGCAGGCATGATCAAGTGAAAAAGCTATTTCAGCCTGCAGAGACATTACGGCATCATCTTGCACTTGGCCAAAAACATTCACAGAATTGGCAATGTTTTAACAAAAGTCCTCAGTACTTAACATATTACGACCCTCTGCTTTTCCGTCTTCAGGTAGAAGCTGTAGTAAGTTACTATAGAACTCTCCTCTTCAAGCACTAAAACCCAGAAGCCGAGCATGGCATTTCAGAATCTACCAAAGATGACCTGGAGGACAGATTCTTACAGTACTGACAATGGCAGCATAAAAAAAGACACACCGCTTTGGCATTTAGCTCTGCCTCTAGGTCTTTTTTGCAGACAAAAGGACAAGTTTCCAGCTTCTTCCACTTGATGGCTTAGATAGTATCAGTATCATGTTTATGTGTTCACTAAAAAGATTGCATGTTTTTTTTTTTCTGAAAAGCAGTGGCTTTAAATTCTGTTCTGTTTTCACACAACAAGATATATTTTGCATCTCAACTCAATTCGAAAAGGAGACCATCTGGAAGGACTACACAGTATAGCATTTGATGTATACTATACCAAAGCATCATATACAACCATACTTTATAGTCATAGAGCTTAATGATTAAAGTTCAGTACATTTGATGCAATCTGGGGTATAAGCTTCTAGATTCTCTCATGATACCTACTCCCTTAATGAATTCCTGCATAGTAATAAATACACTCAAAGGACAAAAAAAAAAAATTAAAAAAATCAAACATTTGTAAGTAGTTCTGTATACAGGAAAGGATACTTTTACAGTCTACTTGTCTAATATCGCATTTAAAACCCTCTGAGTATCAGAATTTTGGTAACCGCTTTCATAACCTTTTAACATTTTCCAGAATACATCACAAAGTAAAGACTGGAAAAGCCAAACATACTTTTAATTAATTTAGAAGTATTCACATATTAAGAGACGAGGCAGCCAACATATAACTGATTCCAGAACAAGTACTACAGAGTATATATAGAAGCTGTCCTTAAGCGCTACAAGTTTTTTTTCCTCCTTCAAATTATGGCATAAAAGTTTTGACATCTAAAAATCACAGTCTCAGAGCTAGGATATTACACCTTTAAAAGAAGCCCTTCTCCCCACATCTCCATAACTTCTATCACCCCCTTGTTATGCAAAGTTAAACAGGTATTTTGATTGCTAGATGGAAGTGAAATTTTAAATACATAAATACTAACAGTGAATGAAAAGTACTTATGAGTTCTTTCAATGACTAGAGATGGGTTAATTGTTTTCCTATCAAAAACTTCTGTGAATAGAAACATACATTAGCATTAGTTCCTTGAGGCAGAGATAAATAATATCTGCTGCCAAGATTCACTGTATTGTAATTTCTCTAGTGGTGAAGAAGCCAATTCTGCATTCTGGTTTCACAGAGAAACTCATATTCACCTTTTGGAACAAAATATCCTAGCTTTTGTGAATTACTAAAGTTTTAGCCCAATATTCAACTCTTGGTTCTAATTACACATTTTCTGGGCTAACAAGAAGAGTCATGTTGCACAGGAGAAAAAAGAGAAGAAAAGAAACTTCCTCTGTCATTCACTGAGGTTCCTGTTTAGGCAGCAAACAAAAAAAAGAAAATAACTTTGGTTCTAAAGGGACCTGAAAAGGAGGTACCGGTCACAATACAAAAAACCCAATGTCATACAGGATCAGAATATTCTCTATATCTAGCTTAAACCAAATTTTAATGTATTCACATTACGTTTTCAAATCATATATCTAAGTTGCAGACCTCCAAACTTTGCACTTACAAGTTAATTCTATATCCATTAGTCACTGCTGGTAAGTTCACACGCATTGAACCCAGAGACCCCTGTGTTGGCAGATCTGCTGTTTGGAGGTTCCAGCACCTTTGTCTCATAAATCACGACCCCAGGTGTGACCTCAGGCCACGTTTACTGTCTAGAAGGTATGCTGCCAACATGCTTGTCCCAACATGGTAATCCCTACATGTCTGTGACAAGGCACTGGCATGCAAACATGACCAAAAGACCACTAAAAAGCGCACATAGTTTCCAATTTGCTTTTACTTTTCTCCATCAGACAAATACATATAAGATAACACCTGCATTCTCATTTGGAATTTCATACTCCAGCTCTATCACAGGGCAGCCTGCCATCCTCTGTGTGGCTAAATAAAGACTTCTTTCTCTGCTTCCACTTGTCTGCACCCAGACGTATTAGCACATTCTCACCTATGCGGCTGAGTGACAACTTTTATGAGGCTTAGTTTGACAAACACTTTAGCAAAGTATTTATGTGAGTACACATTCTAATAAGCCTTCCAGCAAAGCCTGCACTTGCATCATTTTTCACAAGAAAAAGGGAGCTGCACACATGTAAATGCATATGCATCCAAAGCTGTAATTCCCAATTACAAATTAGTAGAAATTGTAAGTTTTAGTGTTATTATATTGCTGGGGCTGTCCAGAATCTCTGCTAATGCCGGCAGGCAATACTGCACCCACATGCAAGAAACAACCCTGCTTGAAAAGGAAGTACTGCTGTCCCCCTAGTCTCATATTGGATCGCTTAAAAGATGAGCATCAAGAGTCCTTTCGATGAAAAGAAATCTCCTCCCAGTATCTCAGTGGAGTGCAAGGAAGCACTCTCAGTTTTAATAATCATGACTGCTCCATGACTGACATAGAATCATAGAATGGTTTAGGTTGGAAAGGACCTTGAAGATCATCGAGTTCCAACCCCCCTGCCATAGGCAGGGACACCTCCCACTAGAACAAGTTGCCCAAGGCCACGTCCAGCCTGGCCTTGAACACCTCCAGGGATGGGGCCTCAGACTGGATGCAGACTCTTTCAACTGCCATCCTGTACTGTTTGGAAGACCACACAGCAAGAAGATTCAGATGACCTTTCTGACATCTCCGATATATACGGTCCCTGGGTAGAGGGTTTGGAGGATGCTGTTGAAAACCTCGATCATGACTCTGCTCACAGTGGACTTACTCACCCCAAACTGGTTATTCAGTAATGGGAGTCTGGGATTACAAAACTCCAGTAGCTGAAAGTTACTCTCTCATAGTTGTAGGCATATATATTTCACCTAGCTACATGGTTCCGTGGAACCACTACATAATTCTGATAAACCAGATTAGTAAGAGATGTATTCATTTCTGAAGAACAGATCCCAAGACTACATATATATGTTTTGTTACATATACCAGTCTGAGAATATGAACTTTGGCTGAGAAGACTATATAATTCTGGAAATTAATTACATTTGACTTACCATAACAGAATCAAGTTTTTGTTTCACCTTCTGCATTCTCATTGATGTTCTTGCAACACTGACAAACTGATCTGCTGGAGACATCACTGAACTTTTCTGCATAGGAATTTCAGAAAAACTGCTAAAGAACTGTGGCCCTCTTGGTGCAGCTGTGCTAAGTGATGAACTGAGATCTTTTACGAGTTCAGCTTCCTGTTGTGCAACTGTAGAAATAACCAATATTAATGTGTTAGGTGAAGCCTTACATTGCCACAGGAAAAAAAAAAAGTTGAATGATCACTGTCATTTTGCCAGACATGTCTTCAGTCAAACACCATCAGAATATGTACTATTAGTGTTATACGGAAAATCTGAAAATGACATGAAATTTTCCCTATACTACCCCATTTACCCCTAACTCTTCCTGATCACGTCTCCCTTCTTTTACCTGTGTTCAGTAACCTCTCACACAGAACTTACATTTTTTTACTGCTTATAAATAATGGTGCAGAAATATTGGCGGGAAGAGAAAGGAATGTTTTCAATGGCAAGAAAGTTATATAGCTTGCACTGAGTTCAAGTCAGCTATTTCACTAGGTACATTTCACATTTTTTCCAGCCTAGTTCAAGTGAACTTCAGTAGAATTTCAGAAGTTGCTAGACACATGTACAGGTACAGGAGGCATTCTTAGGAAGTAGCCTGCTCTAGAATAGGATACTTTTGATGAAAGTTGTGCTCACTGTCATTTAAACAAATTGTTTGACTTTTGCAATTTTTTGTACTGTGGTCTCAAGACAACAAAGGTTAAAAGAATTCTTCATGAAAGTTTTGTCCAAGATATTCATAAAACTGTTGGTGTATGTAAAACTCATTCTGTTGGAGTCTTAAAAACTGTGTCAGTGACTAAAATTAGTATTACTATATGATTAACTCTTTCAACACTAACACAGTAAGACTATCTTCTGAAAGCAAAGTGTGTGCATTTAACCAAAAAAGGAACAAGAAGTTAGTAACAGACAAAAAAAAAAGACCACAACCCATGCAAAATCTTACTGTCACCAGTGACTTAGTTAAGCAGTCAGATGATACAAATAACTACCAGTGTGATATCTGCATGATCTCTAAATACACACACATATATATTAAACTACCCTATTAGCTTTTTAAAGACTCACTGTCTGCTGAGTAGTCAAAAAATTTTAAAGAAATCCTTCACCCAAAAAATTTTCCGTTGCTCTCTACAATGCAGATATCTTAATGGGTTGAAGTTTAGCACTGAATATTGATTGTAACGTCATTTCACTTTATTTTCCTGTAAAAGTCAACCAGTTCAACAGACAAATAACCTAAACTGTGAGATTTGATATGAGTAATCTCATTAGTACATGTTATTTAAAAAGCAAATGTATAAAGACATGATTAGCTTTATAAAACGATGTTCACTGCAAACATAATTCAAACAAAAATCTGCTACAGATATGCAAAATGTATTGTATAGTTCGTATTAACATTATCTTCTGTCTAGCTGCAACATGACATCTGAAACAATGTCCTTAATTGAAACAATGACACTGCTAAAGCTAACCACAAAAACACAACATCAGAAAAGCCTGCAAAGGACAGTCTGAATTTTTATTTGTATATCAAAAATTCAAAGCTAGCATTTATCACTATCTTTAATACCACACGAAGAACAAACGTGTATCTCACATAATCACGCCACTGATATAACACTTGTTTAGTAAAACAGTCTATACTCTCTCATATTAATTCATTTCTATACAGCTCCTTAACGTTATTTTGTAGCATAGCCAGCACAAAATAATGAGATTTATATTAGCTGTTCATTATTTTCAGAATGATAGTATTTTCTGGCTCTATAATCCAACTTTGATACTGAAAAAAAGGCTTTTAAATATTTATAAGATGTTGCCTATATATGATGAAGTGGTGTAAGAATCACACAGGAGGACATATAACAACACATTTAAACTTGAGGTTGCAAGGGACCTAGAACAGGTTGCTCAGGGTCACATCCAGTTGGGTTTTGATATCTCTCAGGATAAAGACATGTATTATCATCAAATGACTTTTCTTTTCCCCTCAAAAGAAGTACAAAGACTAGTAAATCACTTCTAAAAATAAAATATTTACAGGTGTGTATCAAGAAAATTCATACTGTACCTTTATAATCATAAATGTATACAAGTATTGGCTGGTTTTGACCAAAGGCACAAAATGACACCATGTGTTCATGTGGATGAAAGGCAACATCACGAAGTGGAGATGTGAAGCAGAGTTCAGAATATATGGCCACCTGATCTCCTACAGAAGTGAAATATGTTTATTAATACCTTGGAAACATATTTGATACAGCAAAATAACAGTTGGTGAAAGCTTGTATTACTACAGTGCAGTGACTGCCACTGTAAATAAATATTCTTCAGTCCATTTCCTTACTGAAAAGTAGTATTTGGGATAAAACAAACAAAAAAAATTGCATGCTTTTAAGTTATTCAGTAAGTCAGAAAAGTTAGTGTTGTTGCAACAGCTGCAGGAAACCCCAGAGGATGCATCAGGTTAGCTGAGTTCTCTTGCTCTGATAAGCAAGTTCTGGAAAGGTGGCGTTCCACAGTATTTGTTTGTGCTCGCGTTTTGCCAGAGATCGCTATCTCAGTTGTGGATTTCAATTATATAATACTGACATAGGAGTGAAAGTTGAGCACAAAATTGTAAAAAAATAAAAATAAATAAAATTAGCTCTTCAGCTGATGGTATGAGCAATGAAAGTACAGTGCGTAAGCAAGAGCCAAAGCTCAGTGAAAACACGACTAACAAATTTTCTCCCTCCTTTTACTTTTATTCTTTTTTTAAAGTTTTCAGAGAAATTATGCAGTGGCACAGATGCAAGTTAATATAGTTAGAAATGTAGAAAAAAATTCCAAACAGAACTGTTGGTTAGCTGCCAGTTTTAAAATATTTGCTTCTTCCTTTTAAAAAACTATTTACATCACAATTGGAGACAGAACATAAACTCATCAAAACCAAAAAGTGTATTCTCCTACTTTCTACTATTATTTTCGTCCCTTTCACCCCACTGTACAATGAAGATGACAAAGTCTTTATCTCACATTTGCTTAACACTTTTCCAGAAAGATTCTGGTAGCTACTTTGAAACTACTCGGGGTTTGGGGAATAATTCATGAAGAAACCTTGTATTTCAAAGGCCAAAAATATTCAGTCTCCGATCACCCCTGGGAAACAGATTACGTGGTTCTCAACAAAAGCCTAATCCCCAAATCCAAAAAACACAACTGAAAGACTGATTTGGCTAAAGCTGAGCTTAAGAAATTAAATCTTAGAGATTAATAGTAGCTATTTAAAAGGTGGAGCTAAGGCTTCAAGATTTAAGAATATCTTACTGAAGTTTTATTCCACATCAAAAGTGTTTCAATAAAGTTTACAAACCCCTTTCCCCCTCAGTCTTGATAACCTGGCTTAAGACCATAAAATAATTAGTTACCTGTTTCTGGATTCCAAACATAAGCCTTTCCATCTTCACTTCCAGAAAACAGGAATGTACCACACGGTGTTAAGGTGCTGTGAATCTTTTCTCTGTAATTTGTGGCACCTATGTATTTCTTTGTAGCCAAGCTAAAGATAAAGAATAGTTTGCAAATGTAGCAGATTCAAAATAGAAAAATCTAACTTTTTATGTAAGTATCAGTCGTCACCCCCCCCGATTCCTCAGAAAAATCCATACACCTCCTATTCCAAACAGATATGCAAGCACCCACCTTTTGCAGAGTGAAGTGTTTACCCTTTCTTTTCCCTGGCTTTCGTAATGCACCTGAAATTATAGATGAAAGTGTACAACCTTGTCTTTTAGAAGAAAATAGAAATTCTCAGATCTAGAGAACAGATATATATGTAGTAATTTGCATCTTCTTCATCCTGGGCTTTGCAAAAAATTGGAAAATTGGCACTATTGCTCCAAGCTCTACCAAAAAAGTTTTCATTATGCTTTCTGAGCTCAATTACATCCCAGTAGTGCTCAAATTTATCCAGCAGCTCTCTTTAGCTCTTCAGACTAATGTCTCTTTGGGTAGAAAACCAGCACTAGAATCAACAAATTTCAGACATGGATGTTGATTCACTATTCACATTAATATTTTTAATATTATTGTGCTACTTAGGTATCCTAATCTTTTTTCAGTAAAACACTATTTATGAGCGTAGTAATCATGACCTACTAATGAACTACTGTCGGTTTGTAGGCATCAAATAAGAGAGAATCTGCAAAAGGATTTTAAAGAAGCATAAGCCAGCTTGTAACAGGGTATCTCAAACATGAGGTACAGCTTGGAAAGAGATATGAAAGTTCAAAATGGAGACTAACACAGCAGTAACACTAAGATGCAGAATTTGATGCTAGAAGAATGGCCATAGGCCACTGCAGAAAAAACAGAGGTATGCTGGGAGAAGTGCAATGCAGTTAATATGACAGGAAAATTATTTTTAACAATATTTTGAAAAAATATACCTTAGATACAATTCTATTTGGCAAGCAAGAGAAAAGGATGCTTTAATGATCACAATACAAGACCATAATAGCCCAAGAGTTTTAGCTGTGTGAATAAGATAGATAGTATCTCTGAGATGTCATGTAGAAGAGCTCTGCAAGATGTAAAACTAACCTGCATATGAAACCCTAAGGAGAGATCTGAAACAAAACCAAATCCCTGATCACATACCTGAGTGACAGGACAACAGCATTATCCAAAAAGATCAAAAAAGCAAGTTGAAAGAGGAAAGTTAAGAAAAACTAGCTGTCAATCAAAGTGAATTGTGTTGATCTGTGACCTCCACCCCCTCCTTTCTCATGCAGAGAATGAACAGTTAATGCTGACGTGTAAAATTATCACTGCTGAGTATCTGACCCTGTGGTTTATTGATCGAGTTAAGCCAATGTAACTGTGGGCTGTGGTCAAAGCAGCAGTCCTGCTGCTGTCCTCTCCACCCTTATTTTCCCAGGCTCTCCCTCATTTCTTCTCTAGTATTTGGGCAGCTATCAGATGAGTTAGATCAGATAGTTGATTAAAATGAAAATTAATCATTTGTATTTGTAGGCTGATTTTCAGTCAGATCAGTTTGCCAATCTGACTTACCCTACATCAAAAGATCTCCAGAGCCGATAAAAAGGAAATGCTAGGAATACATGGCCAAAGGTGTGGGACATAGAAGGACATGGTGTGCATGTCCATTTCTCTCTCAAAACTAAAACTCTCTGCACTTTTTAGGAATGGTAGTGATAGAAGAACGCTATCTGCTTCAAAAACTACAGGTTTGCTCTGTTATACACAGATTTCATGCTTCAATTGAGTGGATAGTTGAGTCTTCTAGCATGCTCATAATTTCTCATTTAGAGTAGAAGACGAAGAGTGCACTATAAGACTGGCAAGTCTTCAGCTCGTTGAAACATCCAACCCAGTATATCATTTAAGACTGAGATTTGTGTATGTATGTACAGAAGTATCTTCTAAAAGAACATACTTTCTCATACTATGAGAGCGTAAAGAGCTATTTCCCCCAGGTAATTTCACGTAAAACACCAGGGACCTTTGATTTTCTGCATGGTGAGGCAAGGAAGGAAACCCATGAAATTAGGGATGATCATTTAGAAAAAGCATTCATATCTTTAACATGACTTTCCAGAAGAGAACGTTTAGGTGCATCTTATCAATGCGTGTAACTGATAGGAGTAAGACTCTTCAGTTTCACCCCGCGAAAGGACAAGAGGAAATGGACACACATTGAAATATAGGAAATTCCATTTAATATGAAGAAAAAGCTTCTTTTACTTTGAGGGTGAATGAACACTAGAACATGTTGCCCACAGAAGTTATAGACTTTCCATCCTTTGAGATATTCAAAACCCTGCTGGAAAAAGCCCTGCATGACATGCTGTCATGCTATGATTATTGAGGTTGGACTGGACACTCTCCAACCTCAACAACTCGAGTGATTCTGCGATTGCCTTGGTTTTTACTAAATAATCATGTTCACAACTATTAAAAATGAGACAATCATCAATAACTAAATTAAAATATCTTCCCGTCTGCTTAATATACCATAATAAATACTGAAATATGCAGTGATGTATGTATGATGACAATATTCATTCCATTTTATCATCAAAATACTGTTTCCAGAGCCTTAACAATGAGAAATTAACACATAAATAAATGTTATAATTTCAAAGTTATTTTCATGCCCAGATTGCATTTTTAATACTTAATTCTGTCTTTAGGAGACTAGTGTCTTCTCCTTCACGCCACCTTAAGCTCTCAAGTAATCTAGTTATTTTTGGATATTCTACTCTAAAAGACTTACCCAATAACACACAAAAGGTCTGTAACACAGCAGTGTTTTGAAACCATTTCCTAACCCTAATATTGCTATCCTTGATTATTAAGACATCTTTCTTCTCCACAACTATACATTAAGTAGTTTTATGACACTTTATTTCCCCAACTAAACTTTAAAAGGAAATATGCACTTGTCAGCACAAATCTACTTACATTCTGAGATCCATGATTCTCAGGGTACTGTCTTTGGCGTGGATTAATAAACGCCTTCCATTTGGATGTACCTCCAAATGATTTATTGGTGTTCCTTTAATATCATTTTCTTTTATTTCCTACAGAAAGAAGGAAAAGAGAGTAAAAAAAATTAAAAAAATAACTGGTTTAAAAAGTCGTGTTTTCACACAGTATTATTCATTTCTCTCTTGCATCGCTCTTTCTGCCCACTTCATTCTATCTGGTTAAAGAAAAAGTTTGGTCGTACATTAAGGAATAACATCCTAGGCAATCCACTTTTCACAACCACGGGGCAGATTCTACCGAGACTCTGAACTTCTGAAACACAGCTGATGACAGAAATGCTGACTGAACATCAGGCCTCTAAGGTATGAACAAAGGTGATTTGTAAAGCCTGCGGTCAATTTTATTATTGTCTCTAGAGAACAAACCTAATGCGTTAGCATTTATCTGTTAATACAATGCTATTAAACCTCAAGCATTTTCAAGTTTTATATACAAAAAATTGAAGTTGCAAAACGATTAAGAACTTTTAAGTCAGTGAATCACCGCATGCTCTATCAGCTCTTTTGTACCGTTATTTAAAGAACCCCTTTTCAGTTAAACAAACATTAACATATAAAAAAATTCAATTAAAATCAAATTACTAGATTTGGAACAGTTCACATAAAAATGACAATGCTAGTTTAAGAAACCTGTATACCTTATTAACCCTCCAGTGTTGAAATAGGTGTTGAGAACTTCCTTTGACAGATGTATCCCAAACTATTATCAGTCCGGAGCTATCTCCTGAGAACATGTGGAGCCCTGTGAAATAAAAACATCTTCTAAGTAAAAGAATACCACACAAAAGAACAAATACAGAAAAGGATGTATGAACAAGAAAACTTTTTTTTCCTATTACTTTTGTGAATAGGCGAACACCAATTCTTTCCTCTCTTTTGCTGTGATATACTCATTGCAAATACATATTGCTCATACTGCATGACAGAAGTTGATACCATAAATTTGGATTCAGCACATAAGGCAGATACTGGAGTGCTGAATATTCTTTTAAGTTTTTTCATTTTTACTTATATTCTAGAACCAGCAAAAAAATGAGCATTTATAGCTCAATGAGCTTCACACGATAGCCTAATGCTTACCTATACATTCACTGAGAGCATCTTGAAGAACAAATTCCATTTTCCAACAGTTGTTCTTACATCATCACAAATACTTATTCTCTATAAAAATGGAACTCTTTCCTCTTCATAACATCTACTGCAGTGAATACCTCCAAAAATGAACCACTTAATTACTAATGATGTCACTAATACCAGAAAATGTCAAACACTTCCAAGTATCTTAATCATTCACCCATCTTCAATTCTTCGCAACCTCCATTAGTACGTGACAGTACATCTCTCACTCATTTTCAGCTATTAAGCTACCAGTTAACAATATTCACAATGGTCAAATCTCTCCTTTTCTCTCAGTTTTTCACATTGTCTGACAATATTGAAAAGTTCATCACCTCCCCACTTCTTCGGTCTAGCATTAAACTCTCACAACCTAACTACTGCTACCTCATTTTCTTTATCTTTATATTGAGTTGATAACTTTGGATGACAATACGGTGGAGCTGTCTCTGCTACTGTTCTGATCATGCGATCTCCTGTTCTGAGAGCTCTCTAGAAGCTGGTTTCAAATTTCCTGCTTCTACTTTTAAGTTAGTACATAATTCTTCCATTTATTTCTTTAGCCAAACCTGCCTTTTTTCCAACTTGCCCCTCTACACTAACTGCTAGGCTTTACATCTGCATCCTGATCAATTTGTCCCCTCTGAACAGTAGCATCTGTGCTTTATATTCTGCTAATTTTTGCAGCAATATGTATAAAACATTAGCTAACTATCAATAGCTAGTTATAGGGACAATGAAAACTAAACTATGACCAAAATTTGCCCAGTCATCACTGCCTGATCACTATACACACATTTGCCCGTCCTTTCTACACTTAGCTTTTTTTGATGACTCTCAATTTGTATCAGAGATTATGTGTCCCTTTGCGTTCATCCAAATAAGGCATCACACTAACATATTAATTGCAAACACAGCTAAAACTATTCCAGTATAGCATTTCACATTGCCTCTATGAAATAAAGCAAGCTAGTAACACTCAAGTTGGTCTTCAGCTGCAGGCTATTTGAAAAAGTAAGTACATACCTTCTGCATCAAAACACAGTGTGTTGATGAAACTTTTGTGACCATCAAGCTCCTGTAGCAGCTGCCCATGGTTTTCTTTCACATTTGCATTCCAAATTCTAATCACTGAATCGTAACACCCTGTCACAACCAAGGAGTCAGCAACTGGGTGGTACTTAGCAGTATAAACAAACGAAGGATGAGGGAAAACTCTCACTGCAGATGCCGCCTGCATTTCTATTTTCCACATTCTAAAAGGAAAGGATGGTAGGATATCTACTGTATAAAGCAATGACATACACAGGTATAACTGATGCCATACTTTGTGATAGTGGTTTTAGAGGCAAATGCTTTGAAACACTTAACACCACCTGTTTATCCTATCAATTTGTTCCCCCTACATTTAATCCTTTAATGTGGTACTTTCTAACAAGAATTAAGACATATTTACTACTTTACATAGTAGTCTGTCTTCAAAGTAAATTCATGATTACTTACTCATTTAATGGATATTTTGCACATTTTAAAATACACACAAAGAATTCCATAGAATGGATCACTTTCCTTCTTTCAGGAATTATAAACAAATTATTAAGACCTTCTGGGGTATCACTTGTTTTGGTTTTTTTTAAAAAAAAAAGTTAGAACAAAAAACCCACAAAGGAACATTTAGGACCACTAAATATAAATAAAACCCCAGAAAGTTTTAAAAGAACAATTACCTACCACACAGTGATTGTGATATCAAGGATGTTTTCTTCACATAAATTCAGTTCTTACTATTCATCTATTTCCTATCCTTCACCACCCATAGCTGTAAGATCAGGTTTTTCTTAGGAAGTGTTTTTTGTTTGATGCTATATATTTTGCTATTGAGCCTTCCCCATATGGACTACCTATGAGTCCATAAAGAATGGAATGGTACCTGGATCATGAAATACAGGTCGGTAGCACATTTCAGAGAGCACTCAGTTACAGTATGGAATTTAATTGTTTGAGTGCCACCCTTCCAGGTGCAGTGACTACTTCTGGTGGCTACTGAAGAATTGTAACTTTACTCTGAGGTGAGTTCATTACGAAATTGCAATCCTTTAGAATATAGCGATTAACTTGCAACTTAATGTGCAAACGTCACACGGAGTCTACCTATCTTTTAGAATGGTTTTGCTCCATCAACGTAGAGGTTAATTTATTGCTCACAAATAATGCGGGCCTAAAACTTGGGAAGGCTCAAGGGTAACACACAAAACACTACATAAAGAAGGATTCACATTAGTTCCCAAATTTCCCTTCAAGTTGTCTTAGAACTCAGTCTGAGACATAATCCAAGGTAATGTTTTAAAGCAATGGCGTGCCTTTTGGTCATCTTCCTTCAATTCTACCCTGATTCAATGGCAAAATGCTCCCAATATGAAAGGGAAAAAGAAGAAACTCCTTGCCTGAACTGAGACTTTTTAAGGAGCTTAAGGCAGCAGACAATAAATACAGGAACTTAAAACTCGTACAGCGACTATGCATAGTACACAGAAAAGGAGGCAGACCACTACAGTTTCAACTTGCTGCCGCAAATTCAAGAATTGAGGAACAACTGGGCCTTCTTATAGGTAACATAAGTGACTGAAATTTACATTTACTTCAATATAAAAAAAATTATTTAATCTGCTTCCAAATAAAAAAAATGAAAACATGGGCTAAGCTCTCAAAATATTATTTTTATTCCTACATATAAGCAGCAAAAAAAAGAAAACAGTTCCACACATACAACATATCATTTAACAATTCTTCTGGCATTTTAATTATGCAACTGCCTGTAGCATTTCTGAGTTGCATAACAGAAAAAAAGAGATAGGGATCTGAAGAGCTAAAAAAAAAAAAAAGCTATGAAGTTGCTCGTAATAAAATTATGCAGTGTCACAACCATACTTTCATGTTTTTCTACAGTTTTGAGGGTTTTAAGGCTTTAAAGCTTTTAAACCTTGAACAGATTAGTATTTTATTGTTAAAAATACATTGAAGTATATTTTTAAATTGTAGAGGAAAATGTGTATACTGTTAGTCTCAGAAATATTACTGTTAACTTTCATTTACAGCAATTTAAGTTGAATTATTTAACTATGTGTCAAAAAAAATTACATATATATGTACAATGCGGCCAATTTATACATGTAACTTGAATCTTAAATTTTCAGTTTCCTGCCACATGTTCAAATTTGCAAACTTAATACTGCATTCATAATATGGCAATTTCTCCAAGGACAGAGTATTTCAACTGTTTCTGTGACTCTGGGAAACATAAAGTCGTCTTTTTTTTTTTTTCTGCACAGTAGATGTAGACACTACAGGTGGAAAGCTTGGTAAAGCTTTGATCTCAAATACATATATATTAGAAACTAATATAGTAAATACAGCATAAATAATTAACTCCACCTTAATTTTTATAATGTTATAGAGTAAGCCACACTGCAATCAAGTCTTTCATTAAAACATTATAGCACAATTTTTAGTAATAAATGAAATTGGACCACTTTCTTTTGTGCTTCTGATGCTATCTGCCAGAATATCTTTATCATACTGACCTGACAGTGCCATCAGAGGATGCAGTAAGAAGATATTGATTGTCTTTTGACCAACAAAGATCATACACTATGTTGAGGTGACCATAAAATTCTCTCAGTAACTGTCCAGAAGGAATTTCATACACTAGTGAAGTTTAAATAGAAAAAATAAAATTTTCTAAGTATTTACAATCAGTTACATGCAATTATTCGTGTAAAGTTTAGTCTAATCTTAGGCTGAGTTTCTGCTAGCATAAGTCAACTTGTTTTCTTTATCTTCTCATTTTCAGAGAGCAAGATCAAAGAGTTGCTAGATATGCATAGACAGCAAGCATATACTTCCATCTAGTGGTTCTTGGATGTCACTAATGTCTTAACCCTTAAAGAACAGCCTACTTGCTTTAAATCATTAGAACCAGACTAGTATTAGATATTTTTTTTTTTTTTTAATTTCGACAGCTACCCAAACAATCTTTGAAATAGATTAACATAGAGATCATTTTCTGGGGCTCTGTAATACAGGAATCTAGACTTACTATTCCTTGCATTCAAACATTTACTCTGTGTATGCTCAAAATACTGTTCTCTCTAAATTTCATAATTCTTATGCAGGGCTTAAGAACTATGCAGTTGAGGCTACTGTGAAGAAGTAGCCCCAAGTTGAAGGAATATTTGTAGTTCCAACTGAATTGGACCATGGAAGACAGCAGCCTCCAGCAGTCTGTCTGGACATGACAGTATCCCAGGTATCTAACTTTCATGACCAGTTATGAGAAAAACTTATACAAAAAGCATGTGGTGGGGGCTGGAAAAGTTATTTCACTTAAAACCTTATTATCAGAAAATATGTTCCTTATGCAAGCTGATTTTGTATTACTGTTAGACCTCTACGCAGAAATAGTGTGATTTAATACCATTAAACTGTATATACATTACCACATATGAATAGCCTTATTAACACAGAAAGAGCATTTTCCTCAATGCTCTTCAGTGCATAGAACAATTTACAAAACACAGTTTAAAATACATCTTTTGCCCTTTAATTTCAAACTACACAAGTTACAAGAAAAAAAACACCACATAAACATATTTTAAACTTACAAAGAATGGGATAGCCATTCTTTCCTGCACATGCTGCTGCCAGTGTTTTCCCATCATGAGAGAAACGAATACAGAAACAGCCCATATCTCCACCTCGCAGTGAAAACAGATGCTTGTTCGGTATGCGGCAAACCTAGCTTTTCAGATAAGAATTAGGATTACACAGTTACGAATATTAACTACTCAATGCTTAAAACACATTCTTAGTTCCTGTCATGCATAAGTTTTTAAAAGCTACGAATATCTTAAGGGAATTTAAAAGAAAAATTCAACATCATAAATAGAGACAGTTTTGCTGCATAACTTAGGCCACATGCAGCTTGTATGTTCATTTCTGCCCATTATTACAAACAACTAGCAAGTTTTGAAAACCTAAGAAAACTTAAAATTGAAATAGTTTCCTTAATCTTAAGAAGCACTTAATGATGATTGTCGTCAATAATATAAACTGTAAAGTTAGACTGTAAGTCTAGTTTCTTTAAGGAGTCTAAGCACAACTTTTATTTACTTAACGATTGCAGTGTGAACTCAAAATACTAAGTACAGACACTCAAATCTTTGGTCTACCAAATCACCTTTAGCATTCCTTATCTGTATTTCAATTCCTGATTTTTTTGAAACATAACTGGAGATGAAACATTTAAAAAAATTGCACACGTATTGTAGTCCCCCTTCCTCTCCCCAAAATATTTCCTCTTTTTCACGCAAGGACTTTTTCTCCAGAACTAAATTCAAAGTTTAAGGGTAATTAAAATATCCGGAGTAGTTACTCTACTCTCTAATCGAAACCTGATTTACCTTTATGAGTGAAAAATAAGTATAAAGAGATTCTTATGCATTTAAAAGTACAAAAATAGATTTACTTATGAAATAATTGAATATACAATATTCACTTCAGAATAAAGGTAAACACATCTTGTTAGAAACTATATATGCAATTAAGCCTTCTGCTTTTTAACCTCTCTTTAAAATAAAACATTGCAATGTTGAATCAATAATTCAGCTCAGAAATTTTTATTTACAGGTCATGCAGCTACAATTCAAACATTAAATTAATTTCATATTTAATTCATATTTCAAATATTTCATAACTCTATAGAACATTTTGCAAAAATAACATGTCATCCATATATGTGTATCTGTGGAGACAGATACAAATATATCGTGATTCTTTAAAAAGATAATTTAGCTTTAAAGGTAAAACAATAATTTAAATGTGTAAAAAGGAAATCACAATTTTGAGCAATTATTCATTTTAAACAAGCACATTTGCTTTAATATTCTTTGGCAAACAGATATGCCACATCATTCTAACCTTACTGAAACTTTTTCAAAAGACAGAACATCACAAAATACTTCATCATTGCTACTACAATTCTTCAAAATGGACATGGACTAGTCTAAGAATAAATGAGCTGCCAAATTTTATTTGTATGATGGCAGGCAAATATTCTTAGGATCATATTTCTCTTGGTTTTGATTACACAGTTATTGTCAGAATGGCAACTTTCTTAAAAATAACAAACATTAACCTAAATACACCTTTTATGTATCCTCCCATTTTTGGTAAGAAAATTTCCATTTTAAAAACCAACTTGTCTCTTCTTTACTATTTTGTTATTATTAGCAAACATTACTGGGAAATAAAATTAAGTCCGTGTATATTTAAGTGTTCTTTTTGAAAGTATCTGTGTAAAGGACTACAGTTTGGAATCAAAATAAAAATAAACATTCTTTGTTAACAAACATTTTCTTATTCAAATTTTTATAGAACCATGAGCTTACATGAGTGCCATTCTACAGAAAAATATTAAATCATTGCATGGACATTTTATATGTAGTTGCAGAAATACTCCCTTTATATGATTGCTAATCCCCACTAGATTCCGTGATCTAGGAGTTCAGCTAAAGTCAGCAAGATCCTTCTTAATAAGGTTCTTCAATGAAAGTTCCTTCGTAATTCTGTTATACTGTAACAAAACCTTTAACTAAGGGAAAAAAAAAAAAAAAAAGAAAAAAAACAAACAAGAAAATATATCTCCAATCTAGCTGAAATCTGAGAACTCGCTTCCTGTCTTACTTCCACTACCTGAAGAGCCCTACTCTTTCAAATTCCTAGAGAATTCTGGAGATAAAAATACCTGATTGTTCTTGAAAAAAAAATGTTAAATCAACCACACTTGGGAAGAAGCTAAGCATCCTCTACTATTTCTGAGAGTTCCTTATGTTTTGCATTTTGTTTACTACTTAAGTTGCTTTAATGAACGACTTGCTTCATAACACTTACATCAAAACAATTAAGTTATAAAAAGATAGTATGTCTTTAAATTATTTTTCCTTAAGAAGCAAATAAAAACACTTCACCTGTCCAGGCAATCTTGTCCATTTAATTGGCTCCTTCTCCTCTGGAAAAGGTTCACATGATTTTTTAGATCCCTCTCTTTGGAGCTCAC